ATTCCTGCCCACGTGTATTATTATCTGTAAATGAGGACTAGAAACCTGGTCTTCTTAAAAATAGAGTTAATTAGTTGTGTTAGTCTGAAGTTACGCAGAAGTTAGGGCATGGTAGCATTTTAGCAACTAACTGATTTAGAACACTGTTTTCATAGACAACAGACATTTTAACATCTGAAGAAGTGGTTGGCTGTCTATAAAAGTGGTTAGACGAACACCTTGCTGGGGTCGTTTGACCCCAATACTTTTTCCTGCCATGGCAGGGGGTCGGGTTTGATGATCTGCTCAGGTCCCTTCCGACCCTACCAACTATGAAACTATGAAAGTGTATGCCTCTGAACCAGTTAGCCTCTAAGGTGCTGCTCTGCCTGCCTGCCTTCTTCCTTGTCAAAACTGGAAGCCATCTTCATGGAGAAACTTGTCTAGGGAAGGTTATTGACTTGTTTTTCTTAATAGGAACAGTGGAACTGGCACAATTACTAAATTCAGTTACACATCTGGATTCTATACAGTTAGGTTTGAGCTGTAAATACTGCAAAAGAATCTTCATACTTAAATGCCAATAAAAGTTTAAATTTAAATAATGAAAATGTTTTGTGTCACTTTGTCAGATATCCTTTGTGCAAGCTAAAACTTGGGGTGAGGAAATTGCTTAATATAATCTTATGTTTTGATCAATTAATATTATTAAAATGCTTTACCTTCAGTCAATGTGTACATTATCACAAGCAGAAACATGAGGTTAATTAATGGTAATCATTAATGCTAAAAGCTGATTAATAAGAGTTATTAGTTTACCTAGTGTGGAAGTTAGCATTGGATGTATATGGGTAAGTCTGCTTGGATAGACTACTTAAGGGGCAGTGCTTCTCTTCTCTCTCTTTAGGACGTAGATGCATACCTATTAATGCGGTCTTTAAAAGTAACAAGTGTGTTCTACATGGTATTTCATGACACTTTTTTTTAATTGTTTGTAGAAATGAAAGGGCGGGTGGTGCAAGTGATGCTGGAGAAGCCATTAAACCTGCAGATGGACCTTTGCAGAGGAGAAAAAGAATATCCACTCTGCCTAACTTGGCAAAACCCAGAGTTACGGTGCTAGCTGCACAACGGTCAGTATCAAAGCCTGCTCAAAAACAAGTACCTCAGTCTGTCAGTGGCAACACTTCACGGAAGGAATCCTCTGCATCAGATAAGACCAACAGTGAAAGCTCTCCAAAGTCTTCCAATCTGCCTGAAAAGAAAACACCTGTCCCACAAGTGCCACAGTTTTCCCCACTTAAAAAATCACGAAGCAAAGAGCCAAATGCCAGTATAATTGCTCATAAAAATGATGAAACTCTACAGAAGAGCACGCTCTCCCCTCTCAAGGAGAGACCTACCCAGGGAAGATCAAAAGAAGATGAAATGTTGCATGCAAAATCTACTCCAGCAAAAGAAAAGGAGAGGTGCTCAGATCGTGAAAGAATCCTTAAAGCCCAGAAGCTGAGAGAGATGCTCAAAGAAGAGCTGAGGAAAGAAAAACTGGTAAGGTCTGAAGTTGGTTGGTACTGAGGGTGAAGAGGAAACGGAAAGGGGGATAGTATCTTCCTGGTCTCTGTGGCCCGTCTCCTGTCTGTAGTAGTGTTGTCATGTTATTGGGATGTCAGTGTCATGGTGTTGCCAGCGGCTGCATGGTAATCCCTAGTGGGGATAGTACCTCCTGTGCCATTAAGGATAGAGTGGTGCGGAGAGAGGGCTTTTGTATTAAGTTGTTCTGAGCCAGTGGTAATGCTGTTCCCTCCCAGTGCAACTTATGTTGCATACCATTCACTTCTTGAGGTTTTGTTTCCACAAGTGAACCTTTATGTTGTCATAATGACAGCTATTTTTATAATGTGTTTTTCATCATTTGACTAATACAAGGTTGGGGGAAATGCTCTTGGAGGCTACAATTTAAGTTCTTTGACATTGGACAACTTGTTACATCAGCTTATTCACTCAGCTTTAAAGTGGTGGTTACTGGATACATTATGGGAAATTTGGAGCACTTCACAAATACAAACCTAATGATATTTTAATGAGGACAGAATGCATCAGCACAAAATACAGTATTTATGTACATAGCAAAAAAAAGCAGACATGAGAAGAAAAAGGCATGAATTGTCCTTTTTAAATGAACAAATCAACTTGGAAAATAGCCTGTGCAAAAGTGTGATTTAGGTACTACATCAATGTTTAATTGACCCCCAAAATGCTACATAGAATCATAGAAAATTGAGGTTGGAAGGGACCTCACAAGTTCATCTAGTCCAACCCCCTGCTCAAAGCAGGACCATCCCCAACTAGATGATTCCAGCCAAGGCTTTATGTAGCTGGGTCTTAAAAACCTCTCTGGGTAACCTGTTCCAGTGCTTTACTACCTTCCTCATGAGACAGTTTATCCTAATATCTAACCTAAACTTACCTTGATGCAACTTGAGACCATTGCTCCTTGTTCTGTCATCTACTACCACTGAGAACAGTCTAGCTCAGGGGCGGGCAGTTATTTTGGGCGGAGGGCTGCTTACTGAGTTTTGGCAACTCATCGAGAGCCGCATGACAGGCAGCAAGGGGCAGATAAATATTAATTTTCTACATTTTTTAGGGTCCCCACGGGCCGGATAGAATGGCTTGGCGGGCTGCATCCGGCCTGCGGGCCACATTTTGCTCACCCCTTGTCTAGTTCCATCCTTTTTAGAACCCTACTTCAGGCAGTAGAAAGCTGCTATTAAATCCCCCCTCAGTCTTCTCTTGTGCAGACTAAATAAGCCCAGTTCTCTCATCCTCTCTTCAGAAGTCATGTGCCCTAGTCCCCTAACTATTTTCATTGCCCTCTGCTGGACTCTCTCCAATATGTCCACATCCTTTTTGTAGTGGGGTCCCAAAACTGGACAGAGTATTCCAGATATGACTTGACCGGTGCACTACACACACCCTGGGAAGGCATTGAGGGAGGGGGGTGCCCCCAGATCTGCGCACGGAGAGGCTGGGACCACACCGGGCTCTTCCTGGTGGGGGCTGGGCCTGACTGCGCTCGGGGTGGGTGGTGGTGGCACTAGGAGGGGGGCTGGGGGGGCTACAGCCCACCCCTGTAGCCCTGTTCCTGTAGGCCCCCACAATGAGAGAGGGAGTGGGGTGGAGCAGAGGCAGGCACTGCCCAGCTGGGGCAGAGCGCCGAGCGGCTCCCCCGGGGGGGGGGGGGGGGGGGTGCCCCCCCCCCGCCACTGCATGCACCCTGGGAGGGTATGGGGGGCACGTGCCCCCAAATCTGCACAAAGCATGTGTCAGGATGGGGCCACTGGGCTGGGGCGGGGGCAGCACTGGGCTGTTCCCAGTGGGGTTGTGGGGTCGGGCTGCGCTGGGAGCAGGGTTCAGGCAGGCAGTCCGCCACTCCCCCCCCGGCTCAGTCCCCTGCCCTGGGTGGGCCGAGCAGCCCCTGCCCCACTTCCTCCCCCCAACAACAAACTTACCTGCCGGACCAGGCTGCTCTTCACGTGGCCGGTCTGCATCCTGGCCCCCCGTGTGCTCTGCTGTGGCTATGCACACACATGCGGAGTTCTGCTTGTTCCCTACAACCGTTTTAAGTACCCTTAGGGCTATGCGTACCCCTGGTTGACAACCGCTGACCTAGAGTATAGCACTTTTCAGTTGTTTTGCCTTTGTTGCCAGTATGCTTTGAATTAGAGTAGAGGTGATTATGCTTTGTGTAGAGGTGCACCAAATACATCAGTCCATATTTCGGTACGGAATATGTCAGTATGTCGCTGGAAAATGCGGCTTATATGCACGCAGCCTCAGCATGCATGTGGCCAGCCTGGCAGCTTGGATAGCAGCATCTGGCTGGTAAGTCTGTTGTTGGGGGGGGGGAAGGAGATCGAGGCTCCTGTGGTGATGGAGGGAGTGGTGTTGGGGCACGGACAGATGCTGCCCAGCCTTTGTGGGGCATTGGACAGCTGCAAGTGGCTTGTCTGGAGGGCGGGGTGGCCTCTATTGCTGTGTGCACCACTGGGAGGGCATATGCTCTATCCAAATCTGCGCGCAGGGCTAGGGCAGGCTGCTGCTGCGTGCTCAGGGCCAGGGGTGGTACCGGGCTCTTCTGGGCGGGGAAGGGGGCTGGGCCACGGCTGCATTCAGGGTGGGCAGAGGTAGCACTGGGAGTGGGGGCTATGGGGTGAGCTACAGCCACCCCAGAATTTGCCATAGTTTCCCTGTAGTCCCCCCTCCTAGTGCCTATGCCCAGAGCACAGCCCTGACCCAGCCCTGCCTGCCGGGAAGAGCGCAACACTGCCTGCAGCAGCAACCCGTCCTCTCCCTGCACACAGATCCAGGGGGCACATGCTCCCCATGCCTACCCCAGGGGTGCACGGAATGATGGGAGTCTCTCCCCAGACAAGCTGCTCATGGCTTTATCCTGCACCTTGCCCTGCTTTGGCTGGGCAGTGCCTGCAACTGCCCCGGCTTCACTCTCCCTCACAATGTGTGCCTCAATCTGTGCCCCCAACTTCCCTTTCCCCCACAACTGACTTACCAGCTGGATACTGCTCTCCATGCTGCCAGTCTGCATATTGACAGTCGGATCACTATCGGCTGATATGGCTCGTTAATAATCGGCCATCAGTATCAGTCAAAAAAATCTTTTATCGGTGTACCCCTAATTATGAGACTGTGTTTTTCCCCCATAAGAGCCTAGAAATCTCTCCAAAATCCAGTAGGAATTGCTGTCTTCACAAGAATTAATGAGCACTGTAAAATGAAAAATTATTATAGCATTAGATTAAATTTAGACCAGGCAGTTATTATGTGATATTTATTTACAAGGTAAAAGTACTTGTGTGACTATTATAAGCAATATATATGATTTTTTTTTTCGTATGTAGAAACACGGGAAATCCAGACAGAAGGTGGTTGAAGGTTTCACTGCAGCAGATCGTTCCAAAATGACCATGAGAGACTTGATATACTTCCTGCCACAGAACAATCCCATGAAGTAAGTCATTTTTTTTTCCTTCCTGACTACATTATTTTTCTCTGTGGTAATTTAATCTGTATGAGATGCAGCAAAAGCCACGTTATCCAGCACTTTACAAACCGTCATGCTCTATTAACAGGCATGCCAGTCAACATGGCAAAAGCAAAACTGGAAGTGCCCACCGTGGCACTTCTGGTTTCGCTGAGCCCCCACAGCCTGGGGCAAAGCAGCCTGTCCCCCAGCATACTGATGTGGCAGGAGTGGTGGCGGCCCGAACAGGCAAAGACACCTGTTCGGACCTCTTGGGTAACCAGCATATTTGGTTATCTGGCACCCATCGTGCCCCATGGGTGCAGATGACAAAGCTTTTGCTGTATACTTTTAGATCAGTCCTTAAGTCTACAGTCTTGTTTATCATTAGAATCATAGAAGTAGGGTTGGTAGGGACCTTGTAGATCTTCAAGTCCGACCCCCTGCCTGGGCAGGAGGAAAACTGGGCTCAAATGACCCCAGTCAGGTAGGCATCAAGCTGCTTCTTAAAGACCCCCATGGTAGGAGCCAGCACCACTTCCCTTGGAAGTCGGTTCCAGATCCTAGCCGAACTGTGAAGTAGTTCTTATGGATGTCTAATCTAAACCTACTCTCCAACAACTAGTGGCCGTTATTCCTTGTTATCCTGGGGGGGTGCTAGGGGAAACAAGGTCTCCCCCAAACCCTTCTGGTCCCCCCTAGTGAGTTTATAGGCAGTCACCAGGTCTCCCCTCAGCCTTCTCTTGTGAAGGCTGAACAGGTTCAGGTCCCGTAGCCTCCCATTGTAGAGTCTGCCCCGCTGTCCCCGGATCATGCGGGTGGCCCTCCTCTGGACC